TCCACTCTGGTTCCTTTCGGGTAGATACGACTTAGCTGCTTCTTATTATATCTGGTAGAAGGGGAGTCAGGAGAAAAAAAACACAGATAGAGAAGACAGGAGGCAGTAGTGAGAGGGCCAATGATGGTGACAGTGATGGTAGGCAGATTAATAGTGAGACACACAACAGCGATGGGAGACAGAGATGGTTACTTTAAAGGGAATTCAGAAAGATACATTTGAAGACACATACAGAAACTGTCACAGAAATTGCCATCATGGATCAAAAAAATGGTTTAAAAAAAAAAAAAAAAAAAAAAAAAAAAAAAGAAAAGGGAAAAATACTAAGAGTCAACGTGGGAAGGTTGTTGACAGCTGCAGAGAGGCAAACATATTGAGGATGGATATATGGAGAAGACATAATACTGGTATATTAGTTCTAAAATTTACACATTATTAAGGTGTTCCAATTTTCCTTCAGATTTATCTGATTCCCCTTGACGCTGTTGGTATATAAAAGATAAAAATGCCAGTTTCTGCAGGACTTCGGCTTTCCTGCCATCAATTTCTGTAAATGAGCTCCTCTCATTCTTTTTGATGCCTCCTGAATAGTGGCAGGCAGGCTTGAGACACACAGTACTGACTGTGAATGTAATGTGACCTCTTACAGACCACTAGTCAATTAGTAAACAGGCCAGAGGTGACTACAGCATTAAGCCTACTTTCACACTGACCGGCCGCAAAAACACAGTATAAAACGCATAGGCATTTTTACTGCTGTTTTACCGTTTTTAAAGGATACAAGACTTAAAAACTGCATCAAAAACGCTTCTCAGTGTTTTTCAGGCGTTATCCATTGATTTCAATGGGAAGAGGCATTTTTGGGTTTTTTTTTTTTTTTTTTTTAACACACCAAACCTGCCGCAAAGATGCTGCAAGTAGTAGTTTTTACACCGCAAACGCAATGCCTCAGTGTGAAAACATACATAGATATACATTCACATACATAAGGAAGCGTTTTTCTTGAGCTTTTCAGATGCTTTTTTTTTTCTTTTCAACACAAAAACACTTCAAAAACTCCTCCGTGTGAAAGTAGCCCAAGGATGCATTTAGGTCCTATCACTCGCCTGTGATTGCAGCATGAGTGATTACATGCAGGTGGGTGCGAATAACTGCAATAGCAGGAAGTGTCCCATTGCTTTCAATGAGGCTGCCTACTCACAGCTAATCAAGGGACATCCTTAGGCTAGGTTCACATATGTGCAGGTGGTGTGGCTGTGGATCTGCATGAAAATCCGTGCAGCCGCTCACCCGCACAGAGGATTGCGGACCCGCGGGCAGGTGGCATTAATTCTAATAGTACGCCACCCGCACTGGAAAACGCAACCTACTGGGAACCGAGGTTCCTGTGCGGGCTGCGTTTTCAGAAGTGTAGGGACTTCTTCCCTGCGTGTCACGGGGCACGGGAGTCCATTCAAATGAATGAGCTCTCGTGCCCATGCAAAACGTGGCCTGCACGGCCACATATATGTGAACCAGGGGTAATACACATGAAGATGCCTATCCTGGGCCTGATCTTTGCAGGTAATGTGTCTAATCTGAGCACTGCTTATGAGCGTTGAGCTAGAGATGACACACAGGTTCTTTGGGGTAAGCATGTGTCAGAAGCAGGGGCGGATTGACAACTCATGGGGCCCCCCGGGCAACAGGGGATCATGAGGCCCGTGTCCTTGCCCAAACTCAAAAAAGCCTATGAAAAAGGTACCAGGGGCATCTCATGGGGCCCTCTACTGACCCGGGCCCTCGGGCAGTGCCCGAGTTTTAAAATGGTCAGTCCGCCCCTGGTCAGAAGAATGAGTTGTCGCCAGTTTGTTGTTCTGCGTATGTTTCAAATTCATCTGTCAGCTGTGTTAGGGGAACTGCAAGGCACATCCCACCGGTGTAATGACGCATGAACACACAGGCTGGGCTGATACCTCTATGCTCATCATTGTAATGTCACCTTATGGCTGCATTCAATTCATTTACACAATAAAAGTGTGCTAGGTGAAAAACTTTATATCATTGTGCTACCAGGAATCATGTTTCAGTTTGTGTCAGCTGCTGAAGGCCCTTTTTCTTTTTTTTTCTTCTTTTGCCTTACAGCAAATTTTAATGGAAAAAATGCATTGCAACTGCAGGCCAAGAGATTGGCTTGCAGTTGCATCACGGTCCCATCAATTTGAATGATCGAGTTTGACAGGTAGCGCTACCTGTCAACTCCACATGTTGCATTAAATTTGCCAGGGGCAAAGCTCTGTGCAAATGGCATGTGTAGAGCCTCTTCTAGCTGTATGGTGGCTTTCAGATGGGCAGTAAATCTATGGCTCAACCACCCTGTTTTTACCGTCCACTGACCACCTGCGTGAAAGAGGACTTAGTTGCCTATCTGAATATATTTAAAGTGCATGTTTTTGATAATACTGTGTTCTCTGGTACCATACCTGACAAAAAAGAACTGAATGCCAAGTATAAAATATTTTTATTTAGTCCAGGAAAAGTATCGCCTATATTGTCACTTTCCTGCTTTAATCTCTATGGTTTACACAGTATTGCCCTTAACTGAATAGTGTGACAGAAAGGATACTCCACAAAACTCCATGGGAGATTTAGTTAGCTGCTCCAGTGCCTTAGTCTCAACAAATGAAGACATTTCATAATATTTATTCCTCTCTGGGGAAGGAGGGAGAGTCAGTAAAGTGGTGAGAAACAAAAATGTAGATAAAGATGGATACATAGTAGGAAAAGTTTGTAATAACGATGGTATGTAAACAGACAGTAGCATGGGGGAAAAAAAGAAAAAAGAAACATCCAGTTACTTACTTTTAACCAAAACATATATGCTATAAACATCAATTCTTTCTTTAGCGCCATAAACCTGCTCTATGATCATTTTATTACGAAAACAAATCAATAAGGCTTTGTAGTGAAATTATTTTTTAAATGCTTCGTAATGGTTTGCATAACTGCGTGAGTTCAGCCTTGTTTAAGCCTGCGGTTGGGAGGTAGTAAAAACACACTGAGCCAAGTTTTTACAGCCCCCACCATTGCTCACCCTTAAGCTGCAAAGGCAGCTGACGGGTGAAAACAATACTTGCACAAGAGTGTGGAAAACTTTATCCCCCACAATGAGGTGACCACATAACCTCCACTGCGGATCGCTCTTTAGAGGGCAACACTAGTGTAAAACAGATTTATTACATGTGTATCAAGGCAAAACTCTTCATTATAAAATTTGTGAATTGCTACACACAACACACAAATAAAAACTTACATATATAAAAATACATAAATTATAAAGGGGTTAGACAAAATCATGGAAAAAAACACCAAGGTAAAAAGAACAAAAATTGTTCCCTAATATAGTGTTGGACCGCCTTTGGCATCCAAGACGGCTTGAATTCTCCTGGGAATTGAAAATAGATGTCTCGGATGGTGGATAATGTTATCCAATACCCATCTTTATGCAAAAAAATTGCTCCAGTTTTCGTAGAGATGTCGGAGGCAGAAAATGAGCCTGAACCCTTGTCCTCCAAAACTGGCCATAGTGGCTCTATGATACTGAAGTTCAGCGACTGCGGGACCCAGGGAAGATGCGAGAATTTCCATGTTCATCAAACCCACAATTTGACAACACCAGCTGTGTGAATCAGGGCTTTATCATCTTGGTAAATGGCTCTGTCTTCAGGAAACAATGCCTGCATCATGGGGTGCACATGGTCATCTAAAATTTTGTACATAGTAAAAATTGGCAGTGACTCTACCTTTTAAAGGTGATGATGGGGCTGCAGAATACCAAGATATGGCTGCCCGAACCATGACTGCGCGCCGCCACCATGCTTTACCATTGGCACAAGACAGTCCTGGTCATAAACTTGGGATGATGTTCGCCACACGTAAACGGTGGTTGGGGAACAGTGTGCAGCTCGATTCACCAGACCATATTACAGTCTTTCATTGATTGATAGTCCACAATTTATGGGTGTTGCACCACTCTCTCATCTACTGAGCATTAATATCGCTCACTAGTGGTTTGGCAATTGCAGCTCACACGTGAATGTCTTGCTTCTGGAGTTCCCTCCAGTTTTTGTGGACATAGACTTGGTAAGACTGAGATTGAGCTCTGCAGTCACTCTTGCAGCAGTTATTTTATTCCGTGTCACAATCCTGCGCAATGTCCTTTTGGTCAGTTGACCGTGTCGATCGTGCTTATGCTTATCAGACGCAGTTTTCCCAGAAACTGTATATGAAGTCATAACCTTTGATACCGTACCCCGCGACACAGAAAATACATTGGCAATCTCCGTCACAGAGGCACCAGCTAAGCGGGCACCAACAACTTGCCCGCTTTGAAGCTCAGTAAGCTTTGATATGACGTACGCAGTGAATGACAAAAGTGAGGCTTCCCACCTGTTAGCTAGTTGTCGCATCACACAGCAGAAGTAAAAGAGTATTACAATCACTTCTGCTTTTGACACGAAACACGCTGTCACTTTCACGCCTGAAAATCCTGTAGTGTTTCCATTTTTTTTGTGCAACCCCTGTATATGCCTAGAGCCAATATGACACTGCAGTTTGGCCACAGATTGGGTGAACCTGTGGTTTTCATGTGGTTAACCCATGGTTTCCTATAGATTTTCTATAAGTTTGTGCATTGTTGGCATGTTTTCTAAGTACAAACAAACCTAATTTTTATGGGAAACAGTGGGTTAACCACAGGTACACCTGCACTGAGGCCAAACCTCAGTGAAGCAGTGTGAAACTAGCCTAAATCACAGCACAAGAGCTTACAGGGGTTCTAGCCTTCCTCTACCTCACCAAGGAAATATTAAATCTCTCCATAAAAACCATACAGGGGTTCTAACCCTTTCCAACTCTATTCAAAAGAAGATGGACTAATACTTTAAATTGACAAAGACAGTAGCAGCCCTACCAAACATCTCTCAGCTACTCACTGTTGGCTACATCAAATGACTTGAACTTTACAGGTTCCACGTAGTTAACAAGATTGGACATTTCTTCAGTAGCACTGACTTCACTGCTAGCAGTGCCCTGAAATGAAAGTTTAGAGGTTAAAAATATTTAAGAGCTGTAAATAAGGAGAAAAAGACAGTTTAGTTTTAGAACTTACTTCATCTGACTTTTTAGGGTCAGAGGGTTCTTCATCCTCCTCCTCCTCACTATAAGCATCACGATCTAAACAGAACAAAAAAAAAAAAAAAAAAAGGTAGTAAGCACAGCCAGGAGTAGTGGTATAAATAGAACTATACAAATTACCATCATCGTCACAGCTTGGGTCCTACCTATGGATTTCCGTGGCTCTGCACACTTGGGAATCCTCTCCTCTATTTGTTCATCTCCATTAGAAAGTGTCAAAGATACATCAGCTGAGTCAGAGTTCACAATACCTGCAAATGGAATACACCATTTTGAGAAATTAACAGATATTAAAACAATATCTACAGTATGGAATATTCTTCTACTTATGAATACTGGTTCAACCCCATAGCTTTTTCAGTGCAGCTTTCACAATAAAACCTAGAAGCTGATTGATTACTATGCACAGCTGCACCAGATTCTGTGTGCACCAGTTTTTAGTAAATCACCCCATTAATCCTGTTAGTCTTAGGATCTACTGACCATTCATAGGTTTACAAACAACCTTAAAATAGAATCAAAATGTTTACACTTTGACTTCAAGACTGCTCAAAAATGAGATGTATTTCTGACAATATTTGTCCCAAGACCAACTTCAAACAGCTGCATGTAAAAAATGAAGAAAAAAAAAACATGAATTTTCTGTGTTTACTTGCAGCATTTCTCCTTTCAAATAAATAATGCTTGAGGTGATTGTAGCCGTATTAGCGCATTTGCGACAGAAACAATTGAGTACGGACGTGATACTTTTTTTATTTGCACTAACATACAATTTTGAGGACAAGCTTTCGGGGTATGTCCCCTTCTTCAAGGTCCAGGCAGTACTACTACAAAGTTTTAGCAGAATGTTAGAAGAGATGTTGAAAGGGGGAGGAGAAAAAAAAACAGAAAGAAACACACAAACAGATGTACACAGGAATGCTTAAAAGACTAGGATTAGACTAGAGATAAGACACAGCAAAAGCAAAGGGGGGGACAACACTCACAGAGGGAGTCATAAAAATGTTGGATGATGATTGCAGAGTGCAGAGGTCAGGAGTAAGTAATTCAGAGTGCAGAAGTCAGTATTAACACAGACTGCAGGGGTCAAACATATGTAAAGTGAAACAAAAAAGAAAGCGCACCAACCTTGCGCATTACCTCAGTAAACCACATTTTTCTTCAATTCAGAATGATACTCACAAACAACAAAGTAAATTATTATTATTATACTAGATTTATATAGCACCAACAATTAGCTCAGCGCTTTACAATATAACGGGAGACAATACAGCAAAAATACAGTTCAATACAAGAGGGATAGGATGGCCCTGATCCTTGGAGCTTACAATCTAGGATCAAGCATGTAAGTCCTCAAAGGAACTTTAGAAATGTGAAGCCTGTGCGAGTCACATCGTAGAAGTAGACACTCAGAGTATGGCTGACGCATTTCAAAGGGCATCCCTTCTTCATCAGAGCTTACTGAACAATGAGTACTCTCTACCATATATACCCTGGGACTGAAACTGGACCCTCCCATTCTGGGTTGGGCAGTCTCAGGCTGGGAGGAGGGACAAAGGTGTCATCAAAACATACCAGCAGTATTTACTAACAATACAATTTCATGGTTAAAATAATTAATTATAAAACCATTAAAAACATTTGAATCCATAATAAATCGCAAAGATATACAGGATGTATATATTATGTATATGGATAATATGCCAAATTAATATTGATATGTGCAGCAAAAAAGCTATCAGAGATAAAAATAATAATTGAATAAATCTAAAAAGTAAAAAAAATGATGATAGTATTTACATGAATACATACGTAGATCAAAATGATTCAGATTATTAATAATACTGATCTAAGTTGAAATATGTGTTTAAATTGAAATTTGTTCCAAGGCTCCTGACTTTAAACTCCATTTGGGGGTATATCTCCTAATGGGAAGTAGATCGTGGATATGGAGTAAACACACCTTGGGTGCCTGATGGTATGTTCATATCACATTATATTATGCGATCTTTATGGTTTATATCCACTATCTACTTCCCATTAAGAGATATACCCCCAAATGGAGTTTTAAAGTCAGGAGCCTTGGAACAAATTTCAATTTAAAACACATATATTTCAACTTAAATCAGTATTATTAATAATTTGAATAATTTTGCTCTATGTATGTATTTATTCATGTAAATACTATCATCATTTTAACTTTTTATATTTATTCAATTATTATTATTTTTATCTCTGATACCTTTTTTGCTGCACATATCAATATTAATTTGGCATATTAGCCATATACATAATATATACATCCTGTATATCTTTGCAATTATTATGAATTCAAATGTTTTTAATGGTTTTATAATTAATTTTAACCATGAAATTGTATTGTTAGTAAATACTGTTGGTATGTTTTGATGACACCTTTGTCCCTCCTCCCAGCCTGAGACTGCCCAACCCAGATGGGAGGGTCCAGTTTCAGTCCCAGGGTATATATGGTAGAGAGTACTCATTGTTCAGTTAGCTCTGATGAAGAAGGGATGCCCTTCGAAACGTGTCATACATACTCAGTGTCTACCCCTACGATGTGACTTGCACAGGCTTCATATTTCTAAAGTTCCTTTGAGGACTTACATGCTTGATTTACTTTGTTGTTTGTATCATTCTGAATTTAATAAAATTATGGTTTACTGAGGTAATGCGCAAGGTTGGTGCGCTCTCTTTTTTGTTTCACTTTGCAGTATTGGTCGGGCTTCCCCAGCCTTGTTTTGAGCTGCACAACCCTATATGCATTGGTGGTCAAATTTTTCAAGTTCTGGTTCCATCCATCCACCCTTATTCTGGGTCATAGAGCGCAGGAGAGGTCGTTTCTGCTTCAAACATATGTAATGCAGAGAGGATGGGTAGATTGAGAGAAACATGGAAGGAAAAAAAGGGGATGTCCAGGGTGGAGGTGGGAAACCAATTGATGGCACAAAACATGTTAGAATTCTAGTCCAACACTTTAACGAGTTAGAACTGAATGGTATCTCTACCTGTATGAATTTGAAACAAGCTGCATTATTCCTACAGTTCTCTTATGGCTTTCCTCTGCATCCTTTTCAGGTGCCCTATCTCCTCCTGCACCTCATCCACCTGCCTCTTTGGAGTAATGTCCAAATACAGCAGCACCTTTCACTTACCTGTAAGTCTAAACAGGTGGCACACCAGGGACACCATGGAAGACTTTAGGAAATACAGGGCTTGCTGGCATAGGCTTACGCTTTGAAGGGTGAGTGGGCTGAATGATGCCATGAGAAACTGGCATAGCGGTGGGACTGGTTGTGATCTACCTGTCACACTATAGAGAATGTTCTTTATGTGACAACTCTGAATCTGCTGAGAGTGCTGATTTCACATGCATGATAGTGGTGCCCAGCAGGTCTATTGGATATCTACACAAGGGAGTCTTTTATAGGTAAATAACATGACAAATATATGTTAAATGCACATAATATCACATGTGAAGTTTGATGCTGAAATGAGTGGTCTCAATTCAGCTTTGCTAAACTAAACTAAACCACCCTGTTCATTCCAACATCCTTGCTCACAACTTCAGGGCAGATGAGGTTACAACACTTCTCTCGGGCAATCCCTGCTCCCTGACATTTTCTCTATCATATTAGACTTTGTCCAGCAGGCTGGCAGTTAGAATCAGATGAGTTCAGACAGTTCCTCAAAACTCCTCTCTTCCAAACTGCTAACCCATCAACTATGCTACCTTAAAGCCTCATTCACACCATACATGTAGAAAAATTGATAGAAACTGACATGCAGATTTCACTTGCAGAGGCATGAGTTTACATCAGTTTTCATGCATGCTTCAGTGAGCTTTATACACGTTAGATTCCTATGCAAAAAAAATCCACACAATAGTAGTGTTATGGCGTGAACAGGGCACATAGAAAACTATTGGTTTTTTGGGCTCTTGCAGAACGCGTGCAGAAAAACGCTCATCTATGCACATGGTGTAAACAAGGCATAAAGAAGAAATCCTGACAAAAAGTTTAGTGTGGTCCCTTACCTACTGCAGGTGAATCACACAGATGCTGGAGGAGTCACTGTAAGTATTGGATGGCTGTTCACTGACTCTTCTTTTCACACTGCCTTCAGGACCCTTTACCCCCACTCTGTGCCTTTTTTTATTCTTTACCAAGATTTTCCCCAACAGTTCTTGAGGGCTTGGAAGAGACAGTCCTGGCTGGAGCTACGAAAAATATCAAGAAGACAAATGTTAGATAGAAAAAAAAAGGTCCTAAATACATTTGATTGAGAAGTTTATTCAGATTATATATAGGAAGAGATTAATTATCGGGGCCCAACTCAGATCATAAAGATAAAAAAAAAAATAATAAAATGGGATTTTAGGAAGAAATAAAAAATCTTCAACAAATATTGAATCCAGTTTCAAATAAATAGAATGACAATCCAGGGATACAATGAACACATTTATCAGTGTATGCAGTCATTCCATGGCAGCTTCTACTGACTGCTTTCTCATGATACACAAAGGGTTAATCCGGAGAAGACAGATTTGGAGTATTGAGTGGAAGCCTTAAGCTGGCCATAAATAGATAACTGGATTGAATCCTGACCGGCTCAGCAGGGACCAGCCGAGATTCGATCCATCTATGGGATGGATTGACTTCAATACAACCAGCCTGTCTGATTTTTTGCATGCAATCACTGTCAGCGACTATAGCTGATAGCAGTGATCATTGTGTTCTGCCAGCAAGACAACCTCCCTTCTGGCAGAACACAAAAGTACTGCAGGAGTGATTCCCCCCATCAACACCATAACTAACTACAAACAATAAATGGTGCTGCACTACCCCCTTGACTGAAGTGACAACTACACTATGTGCTATTACCTCCATGTATGCACATATAGCAACAGTATTGTGATTAAATGAGGTATTACCATAAATACAAGTATACTGAAACTGCAAAAACGTGAAAGGTAACAGCACGTAGTATAGTTGTCATTTCAGTCAGAGGGGTAGAGCAGCACCATTTATTGATGTGGTTTCAATAGTCAATGTAGGAACACGAATGCTGTTAGCAGCAGCAACATTATGTATGTTTAATTAGTTTGGTAGTTAATTGGTAGTGCAGGAGTTAATTTTCACTTTATAAACACCATGACTGTGTTGATGGGAAAATCAAGGGATTTTAAGTTCCTTCCATCCAAGGTGGAGGGAAAGAAATGTATATTATTTATGGGCTACTTTATGTTTAACTACCCCCAGATTTCTTATCACTCTCCTAAATACTAGCAGAAAGATCTCCTTGCTGGACAGGACTACTCAACCCTGTTGCCCACCATCCTTTAGGCATGGGGGGAGGCTCTGAAATCCAGTGAGTATAAACGTGCCATTAGAGAAATATAGGAACCTAGTGGGTGACTTATTCACCATATTTGCCCACATAAGCTTTACAGGGGAATGTCAGGCAAATCACAACATACAGTTTTAAAGAAAACCAGTACTGAGAGTGATACTGGGCTCTGTCACTGCTGACTTCTGAAAATATCAGTTACTTGGCCTTCAGGTTGATCTTTTGGCTTCTATGAACCAAGAACAAGTCAGGAGTTTTGACTTGAACAGATGCATATTTATTCTGGCTTGGAAATCCCAGGACAAGCATTTCCAGAAGGAGGTTAGCAATGACCACCTCCATATTGATCCAGGTGCAGGTTTCATTTTAAGCCTTTTTAGTAGATTCTCAAGATTTATACTATTGCAGACGTATTAAGATCCTTACCAGAGATGGTAACATTAGGCAACGTGGGCAATTATTGGAAAAAAGTAACCAGAAAATACAACCACTAGGAAATATGAAAATAGATGATGGCAAAATTATGGGAAGACAACATATTTCTTACAGGATATTTCTCTAGCGGTTCAGTTAGAAGTGCATCTCCAAAGATGTTTCTGCAGTATTCGGCCATCTTAGCTTGTTGCTTTGCTCTGCACAAAACAGATCAGAAATTAATTAACTTAATGATAAAATTAAGAAATTATATCCTAATTGTGGCAAAATAAATGGTTTTAAAGAAAAAGAAGCAAGCAGAAGAAAAGGAGTGCAGGAAAACTGCAATGGAAAAAGAACAAACGACTTACGAGTCAACATGATTTTCAAAAGATAAAATGACTGGAAATGGGGAGGTTTTGAAGGCACTTTCTGCTATTGCTTCAATTACTTCCTGTGGGAGAATAGAGGTAGGTTGTTGATGTCAGGTATTCATGAACTATACTTGTAATCCAATCTGGTCATTTTCTGTACCTTAAAAGGTATCTCAGTGGTCATGGTGAAACCATGAGTAATGAATGGTTCTTCATCTTGGGGACGTCCTTTCCAGCAGTCCAACTCGATACAACGGCAGCCTGTGAGCAGCACCTGTCTGTACATCTCTACTGATGAGTTCCCCGTCAGCTGACCAGCTACATCACACCATAAGATACACAAAATAAAAACAAGAGATACATCAGAAAAGATACGTTTTTTTATTACCCAAGTAATATTACATGTGCAGAACCTATGGGTTGGATTCTCTGAGGGATTCCCCCCATTATTAAATGTAACTTTTTTTTTTATTGTGAGCCATATTTTTGGGGTCCCAAAACAGTGGCAAGCTGGCATACTGAATTTTAGGACACATACAGAAAAGTCGAGTACCTTCACCTGAAACCTTAGTTCATATTGGTCTGCTGGATAAACGTAATCGTAAGAGTGGTAATACATGATAAGTACAAGCAATGATAACTTGTAAAATCCATGGACCCCCTCAACTGACACCCCCTCCCCCCTTCATGTTTCCACGCTAATGTTGGTGAATAGAAGGGAAGGAGACCAGTGAACATCCATGCACTGATCTTACCTGGCTAGTAAGGACCTGGAAGTAACAAAAATTGTGAATATTGTCACTCCCCGTAGTCTTCTGTGACACATGACAAGTCCCAGAAGACTACAGGGCCATTCACAAAGCGCAGCGCTTCCCGCTCATGCGCAGTGGGCACCCGGCTGTGAAGCCACAAGCTGTCACAGCCGGGTGCCCACAGTAAAGATGCCGGCGCCGGGGAGCGAAGACAGCCGATGAAACCAGCCGTGGTGAGGATACCGCTGGACTGAGGGACAGGTAAGTGTCTGTATTTTAAAAGTCAGCAGCTACAGTTTTTGTAGCTGCTGACTTTTTTTTTTTTTTTTTTTTTTTTTCTTCAGCTGAGTCGTATGCAAGTCAAATGTTTGTAACTCAGGGACTGCCTGTACTTTTTCTATTTAATTTCTTTTTTGAATTTCTTTACACAAGCACATTCACAGGCAAACATAAGAATATCTCAGGCCCAACATAGGAATGTCAAAACATTGGTAGGGCACCTAATTTATAATAGATACTGTAAATATTACATTTCTGATACTCCTCTCCTGTCAAATTACTTCTCGTGTAAAGCTGCAAATTGTTTTCCCTGAGTGGCATCCGTACAATGTATCAGATAAACTGAAAATCATCCAACACCCATGGTGTCCGGTATTATTTACCACAAACTATATTGAGATTGAACCTGGATTTACCCAGCAATAAGCTGAGGTCTTTCCCAGGTCTTTCCCAGAGGTATATGGAGCCTGCCTTGTGCAGAGTGCTGGAAAGGAGAAGGGTGGGGGAGAATGTATTAGATCTCAGGGGTCACTTTTCACTGCCACTGAGGCTGAGGAAGAAGTGAATGAAGCATGGTCTGTGCTCTATAAGCTTCAAAAGGAGGGCAGATACAAGAGTAAATGCATGTGTCAAGTGCACCTGCGGATGAAAATGTTTATTGTACTACACATTAGATATTGCAGTGCATCCATCATTTACAGTTAACACTAATGACCTGTAAGCCTCGGTTGACACTGACATGACTTAGGATCTGACTTGTGAGCCCCGAGTGGCATGATATGTGAAATCCCATGTTGGCAATGAGAGCTGTCTTAATTAACTTTACTGAAGCCACTCTGACTTTAGAAAAGGTTCCTGTACTACTTCAAGGTGACTTCTATCCGACTTCTGCCCATAGACATTAAAAGAGAAGTTCACTTTTGGGAACAGGTTACATGTTACACCCCTTTTTAGGGTGGAACATGTAACATGCTCCCACAGCTGCAGCCACGCCCACCACCCCCCTCCCACTGACAGATAGTACGGGGAGAAGTTTCCCCGCACGATCTGTCAGATTTGAAAACCGCGTGGCCATGCGGGGCTCCACCCACACGGCTGCGTCACTCATTCACAGAGTTCTGTGAATGAGTGCCTACAAGTCCCGACAGCCTTAGCTTTCAATGAACTACCACGGTGCTGTGGAACGCTGTGGTAGTTCATTGAAGCTACTTGTCAGAATATCTGCTTGCTTGTACATCCAGTACGGCAAGCAGATATTCTGACAGGTCTGCAGGAGACCTGCATGGCAGCAGCGATCTACTGATCGCTGGTGCAATGCTTTTCAGGCTCCTGCAGACAAAAATAATAAATGCACATTTTTTTACCTGCAAAAAAATGTGCATTATTTTTGTCAAAAATGTGTGAACTTATCCTTTAATGGACGTCGCCTCCAAGTTGGATCCTCATCTATATTGATGTGATTTGAATCCAAGATTACAGGAAGATTATCCTGTATCAAGCAAAGTCACATGGTATGAAAGTCGCACATCAAGTCGCATCAAAGTTGGACTTAAGTTGCAAGCAAATAGCCAGGAAACCACCTGGCAAAGTTGCACTGTAAGTCACGCGACTTTCAGGTCACAGTAGTGTGAATTGAACCTTAAAAAGTGTAGTCAAGGATTTTTTTTTTTTGCTCTCTTACAGACATGTTCAATTTTGAAGGATAAGTGCACCTTTAGGATCATGTTACATGTTACACCCATATTTAGGCTATAACATGTAACACCCGTCTCATGTAGTCAAAGCTCCCTTCTCTGACTGCGGGTGGGGGATTTTCTCCTTGCACCCAATATCGCTTTTTGAAAACAGCGTGGCTGTGCAGGGTATTGCCCACACAGCCACGTCATTCAGTCAAAAAGTTCTGTGAATGAAAAATTAAAAGTACCGTCTGCCACTGTGGCAGGTGTATTTGTAGCTTGAATGGGCTGCAAGCAAACTGCTCAGCACGCTCGTAGTTCACTCACTCTTCCTCTAGCTTAGTGACAGCCGCAGGGGAATATGGGCACAAAGCTACAGGAAGACTGTGAAGGAGCTTGACACTGCACCTGCGATCTGCTGATTGCAAGTGGAATGCTCTGCAGCCAGCAGTAAAAAAAAAACAAAAATAAATGCACATTTTTTACTTGCGATATTGCTTTGTGTGCACGAAAATTAACTTTAGTGTATTTTTTACTGAAAATATGGGTTTGCTAAGCTGTTGTGCTAATGTTTCCTGAGAATAAAAAATTGGAACTACAAATATTTTATTCTGCAGGTTCTCTGCTTTCAGAAATTTTGCTTGGGGGTTTAAAATAATCTTCAGGCCTAAAATTTGTATTTTAACAAACAATGCAAAAATGGCTCTGGCAGGATAAAAACGATAAAGTGATTTTTAATAAAATCCCATACTACACAGAGAATTATTCACATGGCATCCATAGAACTAGGATTAGTGTACTACTTACCAGTGAGGTAGGTATTGTGGGAAGAGTTGATAAAGTAACTGGTGAGCGGCTGTGTCATGTCATCACTAAGATCCAAGGCCTCTGGAGGAACAATGCTGTTTTCATCCCCACCCAGAAAACGGCTAAAACCTTCCATAGAGATCTGGTCTGTAACATGAAAGTGCAGAAAACAGGGTTTACTTAAACTACAGTTTCTTAAAACTATCAGCAATCTGCAAAGAACTCTTCACTTTCACTTGCCTCTTTCAAGAAACTGTTTGTTGGGCTCGTATTTTTCAATAAGCTGACGCACCTGGTCCCTTTTAAGAGGTGGGAAAAGGATCTCATTGAGCCTTGGATCCCTCTGTTTCTGGTTTACAAACTCCATTAGCTGCTCCAGAGTTAAATAGGGCTTCCCTTTAGCTCCACTACAGAAAGAAGTCCAGAAAATGATTAGATAAGAATTATATGGAAGATACTACGCATGCAAATGTGTTCAAATGAATATTTGGGTCAATGTATGAGTCTAAAGCTGGGTACACACAGATGAAAAATCTTCTGAATCAGCAGGGACTGGATGATTTTTGATCTGTTTGTAGCCCTCCCAGTTCGACAGAAGTCGATAGTAAGATTGGCTTCTGTCCAACGGACCTGCTAGAAAACCCTCCTTCAGCCAAATCGGTTGTAGTGCTGAGCAGTGTATTATGACAGCAGAGGAGTCAAAATTTCAGAATACAATAGCACAATGATGAGGATTCCTGCATCCACCTCCCTGGTTTAATGAGAAAAAAAAAATCAGTGTGTACCCCCTTTTATAAGGGGGTGTACTTACAATGTAAAAAATAGGAAGCAAGAAACTTTCACAAGGGGAAAGACTAGAAAAAGGTAACAGGTATAGAAATTTCCACTTATTTAATGCCAGTCCCAACTATAGGTTGTAGTAAAAAATTTTTTACAACATTACCACAACACATTAATGTATTGCACTTTGTGCAGCGTGAGGTGGTGCCATATCCGCAGTATAGCACAATGCACACAGGCATGCTTTGTTGTGTGCTGCGCTGCAAAAAAAAAAAAAAAGTCCCTTTTTGGGGGGCATTTAAGTGTACCGCCACTCCAATTAAAATGTACACAAAAATCTGCATCTGCAAGAAGGGGAGGGGGGAACAATCTTTGAAACATTAAAGAATTTGTGCAATCTGGTTGGTTCCTTCTGCTCTCAAGGTTTTCTTTCTAAACCAGAGTACCAAAAAAGGCTGAAAAAAAATTGATCTTTATTGCCATCTGCTGGCTGTATATGGTAAATATGAATTAGGAATATTTAACCTTTCATATTTACCTGATTTACCTCTTGCCACCCACAACGCATATGTGCGGCAGCAAAGAAGGTGGACTTTAAATGCCCCCACACCATATACCGTACAGCCTTGGCCAAAGGTTTTGAGAATGACACAAACAGTAATTTTCACAAAGTCTGCTTCTTCAGTGTGTTTAGATCTTTTTGTCAGATGTTACTATGGTATACTGAAGTATAATTACAAGCATTTCATAAGTGTCAAAGGCTTTTATTGACAAATACACTAAATTTAAGCAAAGAGTCAATGTTTGCAATGCTGACCCTTTATTCATGACCTCTGAAATTCGCCCTGGCATGCTGTCAAGAAACTTCTGGGCCCATTCTTGCATAATCAATGCTTGGAGTTTGTCAGAATTTGTGGGGTTTTTTTGTTCACCCACCTCTTCAGGGTTGACCACAAGTGCTCAATGGGACCAAGGTCTGGGGAGTTTCCTGGCCATGGACCCACAATTTTGATGTTTTGTTCACCAAGCCACTTAGTTAGCACTTTTGTCTTATGAGAAGGCGCTCATGCTGGAAAAGGCATTGTTCATCACCAAACTGTTCTTGGATGGTTGGGAGAAGTTACTCTCGGAGGATGTTTTTGTACCAGTCTTTATTCATTGTTGTGTTCTTAGGCAAAATTGTGAGTGAGCCCACTCCCTTGGCTGAGAAGCCACCCCACACATGAATGGCCTCAGGATGCTTTACTGTTGGCATGACACAGGACTGATGGTAGTGCTCACCTTTTCTTCTCCAGACAAGGTTTTTTTTCCAAATGCCCCAAACAATCAAAGGGGATTCATCAGAGAAAATAACTTTACTCCAGTCCTCAGCAGTCCAATCCCTGTACCTTTTGCAGAATATCAGCCTGTCCCTGATGTTTTTCCTGGAGAAAAGTGGCTTCTTTGCTGCCCTTCTTGACACCAGGCCATCCTCCAAACGTCTTCGTCTCACTGTGTGTGCAGATGCACTCACACCTGCCTGCTGCCATTCCTGAGCAAGCTCTCCTCTGGTGGTGCCCCGATCCCGCGCTGAATCAACTTTAGGAGACGGTCCTGGCACTAGCTGGACTTTCTTAGGCACCTTGAAGCCTTCTTCACAACAATTCAACCTCTCTCCTTGAAGTTCTTAATGATTGATTTAGGTGCAATCTTAGCAGCAGCAATATTCGTTCCTGTGAATCCCTTTTTGTGCAAAGCAATGATGACTGCATGTGTTTCCTTGCAGGTATCCATGGTTAACAGAGGAAGATTTGATGTGTTGATTTTCCTCTGAAGACGTGCTTGGCACGAAAGGACTAAGGAAATCAACACGCTGTGACGTCATGCCACTGGAGTCACGTGTTGGTCCGGCAGCCATCTTAACTAATGGTCAGTGCACCTATTTTATCTTTTACTGTCATTTTTGGATTTAAATAAAATTGATTGATTTGGAAATACTACACTATGGGCACCTTTCTTATGGCTTCTTTATGGAGCCTTTAAGCTTGAGAACCTGTGGAGAGTACAAGTCTGACCCAGTATCCAGAGGAAGGGAATCCCTGTAAACAGGTGGCTGACCCTATCCATCCTAAAGGGGACCTCTGGAGCTAAGCAGACCTCATTCATTGATCGCAGTGTTGCCCATTCCTAGACGGATGTTCCAGATACACCTACCACACATCACTAAGTGCCCTGAGGTGGATATATTAATGCGCATAATCCATGCGCATCTGGTAAGTGTGCAATCCTACCATTTCTTCAAAGCACCATAATATCGACATCGGCTTGCTCCTGGATTTATCCTGTTTATAGAATGATCCATATCTGAATTCCACTGCAATTATATTTATATTTATCCTAGCGCTGCACTTTGTTGGAGGAAGAATAATGATTTCCAGCACCACCCTCCTTTTAAAGATTCCAGTCTGTTATTCTAACTCAGTCAGCATGACAGAGTGATCTCCAGCCTTGTTCTCATAAACAGTGACGCCTGTGTAAACAAGAGAATCACTGATATAATGTCAGCAGGTCTTTTATGTCAGGGCTGAAATGCAGTGGAAATTTTTTTTTGATTAAGTTAATTTTCATGGCAAAGAGGGACTCTGATTAATTGCAATTCATCGGATCACTCTTCAAAACATTCTGGAGTATATGCAAATTGCCATTATAAAAACTGAGGCAGCAGACTTTATGAAAATTAATATTTGTGTCATTCTCAAAACGTTTGGCCAAGGCTGTATATGCATCCATGGGCAGCATAGCTTTCTGTGCTGAGAGTATGCCCCCAGCAGAGTGAAAGACTGTCAAAGCCAGCTCTCGGTCCATACTAATGAGCCGCAGTTGGTGGGACCTGCTTCCAATCATGTGACCACCGCATTTTATATTGTAGCACTTTACAATAGGGAACATATATACAAAGTTACTAGGCTTTCTCTTTAGGGCTTGTTCACACCATTAATCACACAAGAATGTATGGTGTATTCCTGTGTGATTCACATGTGATCTGGGAGCAGTGCGATTTCAACAGATTCATTTGAATGAGCTGAAATCACACTGGACAGCAGCAAAAGTAGTGTGTGTTCTCCTTTACAAGACGCAGAGCAACTGAATCGTATTGATGGTACCATGTGATCTGGTGCAGGAAAAATGCAATGTATTTGCGACCTGCATTTGGAGTGCAGTGCATTTCGAACATGGCACAGGAAATATGCAGAAATGCAAGTTTCCCACACAGCATTCTGGTGTGAACTGGCCCTTAATTCAGTGTGAGCATTTTTCAATCGTACCAAGCAAAAGAGTATAACAGCAACGGATCATTTTCCAGCAACTCACTTTTCTATTAGGATCTTATCAATATCTGGCCGCAGGCATAGCTTATTCAGAAATCGCTCAAAAATTTCGAGGGTAAATTCCTCTGGTTTAATAGACTCACCCTGAAAGGGATAGAAGAAGATCATGTCCAGTATTATTTAAGACTGCAATACTAAGCTGAAATGGCAGAATGAAAGCAAAAAAAAAAAAAAAAAAAAAAGCAAAAGCATAACATTCAGTCAAATGACAATTATGCGAATATTTTGACCAAGTAAACAAATCTGTGAGGCAAAGCTGCAAACCGCTGTCAAGGGGTTTTGTTTTGCCTTTCTCTGAACCAAAACTGCTGGGGTCTATGAGATGTTAAACTTGAGGGATGTGTTCTCTTTTCATCTTAATAAAAGCAGAAGTCCTGGCAAAAAGCTAAATACAAAATTAAACAACTACAGCGGGGGATATTTATCAATTCTGTCACACAGGAAAAGATCATGCACATGCCCACAAGGGGGCCATCCAACATCTAGAAACGCTGTAAACATTTCCCAGGGACCTGCAGATGTTGTGTACAGCCGCCTATAAGGAGCAGTTACAAGAAGCACCTGTATGTACAGCACAGATGTGTGCACTGAATGCTGACAGTCTTCATTCGGGTCATATGTCCATTATTATTATACAGTATTTATAAAGCGCCAACAGTTCGCTGAGCGCTGTCCATGTGCGTGCATTATGCAACCGCTGGTATATAAATCTGAAAACCTCAGACCTGAACAGTTTCACAGGATTGTCATCCTTATACTTGCAGTGCTATATGGTAGATCACTCATCCGGAACAAGCAAATTCATAGAAGGTGTTCTTGGGGAAACAGACTGAGCATACAGAAATTAAAGAACATTTCACATTCCTGGTATGTGCCTCCTGTACCATGTACTTCTATGAAAATGTATCCTGTTCTCTTTGTATTGCTTCCTTTGTGTAAAATCCTTGGTGTTCCTGCCAGTCCCTCTGCTTTCCTATTAAAACTGACCACACTAAGCAAAGAACACAGCTTGGTTAGTTCTCTAGCAGTGCTGGGAACTCTGCTCTTTTCCAAATGATCAGACTTCTGCTGACACCCCCTCCTTTGCACTCCCATTCATTGGGAAGACCACTGTCCTGCAGTTTCTCCTCCCCAGCATTTATGCAGCTGAGAACAGAAGCTACGTAATCACTTCTCAAAAAGGGATAAAATTAATTTATCATTTTTTTATATGCACACACAAATATTTTGCATTTCACTTCTATTTTAAACTGAATGGGGTGTTTTACAAGGTGAGGGTTTACAATCACTTTAAGTGAGAACGTAGAACAGACAGGTCATAGGATCAAACCCAGACTATATTTGGGACTTTGGCCTGTAAATTCCTCTTAAAGTGGATCTTTGCCAGAAGCGAAGTCTGCCTCCCCGCAGGCTACACCCCTCAGGTGCCAACATTAGGGTGCATGTGTAGATGTCCTCATGGGCTCTGCCCATCCTTCGGGGTCCTGGCAGAGCCCATGGGTACAACTGTGCACACATTGGTGGTTTACAGCTCACGCGTGAAAACAGACGTTCCCTGGTTGCAGTCTCTGCATGTGTGTGGGAAACCCTCCAAGTGCATAGATACCCAGAGGGCCCAGTGCATGCTTAGATGTGTCTCTCAGGGCTCTCTCAGTATCCAAGAGCTGCGGTACACATGAGCACACAGAGGGGGGCAGGGGGACACTCTCACCTATGCAAGAATTTTGGAAGTGCTATAATGTAATGAAATAAAGCTTATTTTAATAAAAGAATAAATACACATACTGTACACACATACACGCACTGTATATAAAAAATGTTTTTTTGCTTGAGAGAGAGGCAGGGGGGAGGAGGCAGAGGAGACAAATATGTCCGAAAGGGTGAAGATCCACTTTAAGCCACAGGCATCATCGCTACATGTAAAAAAAAAAAACATACTTTGAGGTTGGACTTGCAAGATACCTTGGCTTTTTTTTTTTTTTTTTTAATTGCCTATTTCTAGATTGTGACCATGCTGATCAGATCTGACTGTACATCAAATAGGTTGTTGAAAGCCGAGCTCCAAACAGTCACTGAAAAGATTTTACATCATTTATAAAAATAGGGATCTATTCTTATTAAAACAGATTCAAGTTGATTGAAAGAAGTGCAGTACCTCTAGCTGTGTCCCGTTTTGAAAAATTAATACTGCATAACGTTATAAAGACAATATCTGCAGGTTTGTTACAAAAGGAAAGATTATGAATAATACCCTATTAAAGTTCAGCGCACAGGACTCCAGCGCAGTCTCTACTCTTTTCTTGTCAGCGGCAAACATCTTAAGGATGCTAAAAAAAAAAAAAAAAAAAGTACAAAAAAAAGCAGTACAACAGGTTCATAATTATAGCGGACAAAGGGTTCATGTTTCAAAGAAAATTTAAAAAAATAATTTGCCATTTTAGTAGCAACTGATAATCTGTTTACTTAGCGGATACCTACAGATATCAGATGACAAGGTTATTAGCTTGTAATTTAAAAGTCTATAAGTGCTCCTGGTTGATGACAACTACAGGCCTATGCTTGGAAAGGGATCTATATCTCTGTTTTTCTATAACTGGGATCACAGAAAAAGTTCTTAACTTTTTACTGTGTTCCTCAAACTATTCTTGAAACATTTTTGCAGTAAGGTACAGCCCATTATCTTGCTAAAAGAGGCTACTGCCATCAGGGAATTCCGTTTCTATGATGAAAGGGTGTACTTGGCCAGCAACAATGTGTAGGTAAATGGTATGTGTCAAAATAATATCCACATTGAATGACAAAACCCAGGGTTTCCCAGCAGAACATTGCCCAAGGTATCAAACTGCATCTGCGGGCTTGCCTACTTCCTGCAGTGCATCCTGGTGCCATCTCTTCCCCAGGTAAGTAGCACACACTCGCCCGGCCATCCACATGATGTAAAAGAAAGCATTATTCATTAGACCAGTCCACCTTCTTCCATTGCTCTGTGGTCCAGTTTCAATACTCAATTCAAAATAAAATAAGCATAGTTCTGACTGATACAAATATCCTCCAATGAAACGGGTCTACGTTTTGATCATGACAGCAGATGTCACCATATCACTAATGTATGCATACTGATATGTATGAAATCTCTTTGAAAGTGGATTTTTTTCCCCCCTTTAAAGAGGTGTACTACAGTGTACAGCACTGTGATGGCCAAGTTTGCCAGCTCAGGAATGCATAGGTGTTTCATGAATCCCCCCACAGGCAGTCCCATTAATTTCAATTGGGATGCAGCAGCTGCATGGACGCAACCACTACTCCCAATTTGACAGCTGTGCAAGTGTCAGCGCACAACCCAAAAAAATGCAGTGTTGCGTGTTCAGGGCTGTGCACCTACACCCACATGGTAGTCAAATTGGGAACACAGGTTCTGTCAGGATGCTGCGGCTGCACAAATTGAAACAAATGGGACTGCCTGCATAGGGGATGTACAGAAAACCTGTGCATCCCTGTCAGGGCAGACACGGCCCTCACATGAGCCCAAGGGCTCTTTCATACTGGCAGCCAGGGCAGTAGAAACACCACCTCCTGGCCACCCCATGGAGTTTATCATCACAGCATGACAGGACTGCGGGCTGCAGTTTTTGACAGGCAGCACAATATGTCAAATGCAGGGATTAGAATCAATGGGCACACCCCACGACCGTGAGCCAAATACTTGCCCCACAGTCCCACAATGTAGAATTGTCATTTGGAAATTAAGAAAAAAAAAAAAAAAGAGAGAGAACAGGCAGTAGTACCTCCTGAAAGCCTGCTAGCCCCTGCTATGCTGCCATCTGCGATCCACTTAGACATGTAAGTAAAGTTCAGTATACACAGCTCTTCAGCAAATATGCTAACCTGCCAATGTATGACACCTGAGCAAGCAGTTTTCATGCAGTAGCTCTCATATTAAAAATAGATATACTAATGCAGGCTATAGACGGTTCGTTTATCGGCCGAATTTTCATCTGAAAGAATAATCGGCCGATATTCGCACCGTTAGTGGGGCAATGTCGTTGGCCGATTTTCACGGTTCCTCCTCATTTCTTTTATTGGTCATGCTGGAAAATTTACTAAAAACGGCCAATTTTCGTAAGTATTGGTGGCAACAGAACTACCGATTTTTTGTTTTTCGGCCGAAAACTCAGCTGATAAACGAACCGTCTATGGCCTACATAAGAGGAGAATATTACTCACTTCTTGACTGGTATTCGTCCATCCTGATTCACCTGGAGTTTCAGCTTGCTGTAACTGAAAGATGACAGAACTATTTAAAGTAGAACTCAAAGTAAACTGCTAATCACAGTTGAACATGAATATAACACACACATAAGCTCTACAAAGCAAGAATGTAAGAAATGAATTGAAAACAATGAAATACTGTACTTTATGAGCTGAGCTGATATGAGCTCCTGTTGTATCTACAGGACAGGTAAAGCAGAATCTTCCCAGTGGGACAAATAAAACTGACAGGGGGTTTATCAATTCCTACTCCACCCAAAAGGAAATGTGTGGATTTAGATGCATATAAAAGATCTATGTTGTACAATCCCCACTTTCTTCAACTGTTACTAAATCTCACCTATCAATAACTCCAGGTTTTCTCCAGTGACAGGACACATGTTCTCTGTCAAAGTGCAGGATCTGTGTTTTGGAAGAGCCACTGATTGGCTGGCTCTGCATGAATGGCACTCTTTGACAGAGAGCACATGAGTCACAGCTGCAACTGTGTTCTTTTGCCAGCAGCCAGAGCGAACCTGGGTGTTGACAGACAAGTTTTACAGAGGTTTTAGTAGTCCTTTAGGACATCAGGGAGGTATAAAATGGATTCAATTTAGATTAGGCTTTAGGTTTATTTCAAATAGAAGCAGTTTGCAAGTGCTGGTAATCTTTCATTTTGGCCAGTTATCACAGAATAAAAAAGAAATCATACTAAGGGTGCACCCAACCGGTCACAGTTGAACTGAACCATGCCTGAGTTCGATAGTCCTCCCTCTCTGCTGGTCTGCAAGCATACGGAGCTACAAGCAAGTGTTCCCGAGCACACTTATATCATCAATTCTGCTAACCAGACCAAGTGAACCCTACTTCTGTGCTCAGTGACCTATGGAGAGGTTCTGTGCCCTGGCACAGTTTGCACTCACATTGAAGAGAACCATACCGGGACCATCTCTTCTGGGTGGTCCCAGGAATGGTACACTTAACCGTTCCCAGGCACAGTTCATACCACTCACACTGCACAAATGAACTGGACCGGACCAAGGGGGAGAACAATGCCCACGCTCGGTTAAAACCGCTCTGTGTGAGTGCACCCTAACATTAGTCGCAACAAAACATTTCACTGCATGTTAGGCAACCAATGGACATACGATAGCAGTCTAAAAAACATGCAGTTTTTAAACGGAATGGTTCATTTGTCAAAGAAAGATCTATAGAGGCCAAACACTATACTATCTGTACAATGTCTGTAAATAATCATCAAGATTTACAGAAAATATGTAATCTGGGGCATATCCAAACAATCATTTAAGTTTCTATCCAATCAGAAAGACCCTTGAAGTATAGTTAGAGCTAAAACGAACCATAAAATTAGATTGCAACATGTATGTATAATAAGACAAACATTTCTTAAATGAAAGCTCAGCACTAGCTCTGCATTTGATGGAGTGCAGTCTCTACTAGTAGAGCAGGGAGATGTGCCTTTGAGTGGCTCAAATGAATAGGTAATTAAAGCGATATTAAAAGGTTCTTTCTGTTTATGTTTGTTTTTTTACATAACAAACATGTTGTACTTACCTGCTCTGTGCAGTGGTTTTGCACACAGCAGCCCAGATCCTCCTCTTCTAGGGTCCCTCGTTGACACTCCTAGTTCCCTCCCCCTGACCTGTGTCCCCAATAGCAAATCACTTGCTATAGGGACGCTGGTACATGCTAGCTCCTGAGCCCTGCTCTTTGTGTCCATAAGACACAGAGCTGTGGCTTGGCCCGGCCCACACACTCTCCTCATTGGCTCACTAGCTGTGATTGACAACAGTGGGAGCCAATAGCTGTCTCTGCCAATGAGGAGAGAGACTCAGGACAGCTGAGGCTCCTGTGCACATCCTTGGATTGACAGGAGGCTCAGGTGTGTATTAGGAAAGCTGTGGGGGGAGCAGCATACAGAAGCTTTTTTGCCTTCATGCATAGAATGCATGAAGATAAAAAGAAAATTTCAGCCTTTACAACCACTTTAACCGAATAACTACAACAGAAAAAAAAAAACCTACGCTTTTTGCAGAAACGAGTTCCGAGATGAATTCTGTGCCAAAATATTTGTGGCCAGTTTAAATAGTCCTTCTGTCCAAACCTGAAACATACAAAAAGATAAGTAAGATATCGTAAAAGTCTTTTATATGTCCTAAAAGAATGTTCTGTCCAGTTTTACCTTTGCTGTATCCTCCTGAACAGCCATGAAGTTGAGGAAATTGATGTTAACCATGTCCGTGCCATATACGACTGTAACAAGTTTATCTTCAGGACGTTGCTCAGCTGACGTAAAGCCTAAAATTTCCCTCATACGGAAGTCCTACCACAGAGAGAAAAATGCAGTAAAACATAAATAAATGACAAGGCAAACTAAAAGTAATACATAGCAATTAAAGAAAAGAATTAAACGTGCCTGTGCATGAATCATGGACTATAATCTCTCCGGCAACAAAGCAGTTGGCGGTGATTACATAACCTATTAGGACAACATTGCCACAAATGTTTATGCTTCAGTTTTATCCTGCTCCATGAATTTTATTTTGGGTTGGGGTTAGGGAATTTCCTTTTGTCTGCGATAGAGCACAATCAGTATAAAGATTTCATTTAATGGGAAATCAAATCAAGAATTAAAACTGAAAGCTGAACTCAGAGTGAGCTATTTAAGTACAGGAGAGGGGCATGTACAACTGGCTGGAGGCTGTAGTCCAGCTTTAAAGCTCAACTAAATGTCACCAGTGTCAAACTGGTGGCCCTCCAGCTGTTGCGAAACTCCCATGAGGCATTGCAAGATTGACAGTTACAAGCATGACTCCCAAAGGCAGAGGCATGATGGGACTTGTAGTTCCGCAACAGCTGGAGGGCCGCCAGTTTGACACCCCTGCACTATGTGATGCACATGAATCATAAAGTAAACAAAAACACTTCTTTTACTTTTCCTGGCTGAGCATAATCCTTCTTCATTTGTGTCTCATATGCTTACCCTCCTAGACACTGCAGCTCTTTTTTATCCTACTGTAATGCAATATAAAGCACAGCCTGTATGGAAGTGGCAATTCAGCTTTGATTTCAGGATCAGTACAGCATCGTTGCCACCCATCACAGAAATTCACTGGCAGGCTCACCAAGGTATTTGTGAGACGCTGTGGGACCAAGAAAAACACTATGTGCATGCACATATAATTATGTATATAATTATGTGCTTCAGCACATATTTTTTTATGGAAGTCATAGTTCTACTTTTTGTAAATCAACTCCAGATGTGTTATGATGACTGCTTGATTAAATAACAAACATAACTTTGGTGTCATGCTGTATAGTATTAAACAAACTACTGCATACATAATTCATATGAATTTTTAAGCAGTACTCCAAGCACACAGCCAATACACCCCCCTTGTAATTCAGTTTATCCCAGTCTTGCAATTTTCATATCCCTGCCACACTGCATAGTCAGAAAGAGAATTGCAAGTTTCACATTTATAGCTTCCTGTGTCACCTGCCTAATAACCAAAGGTCTGAGAAGACAGACTTCCCCTCTCTTGGTGATATCAACTCATTTATACAATTATACCTGCTGTTAACTCTAGAACGGTAGGGCCTCGAGGATACGGATACCGTCCAGTGTGATAGTAGTAGGATGGGCCTTGGAGAAAATGAGACAAGAAAATGCACTATATTGCCAAAAGTATTGGGGGCCTGCCCTCCAAATCACTGGATTCAGGTGTTCCAATCACCTCCATAGCCACAGGTGTAAAACATCAAGCACTTAGGCATGCAGACTGCTTCTACAAACATTTGTGAAAGAATGGATTCTCTCAGGAGCTCAGTGAATTCAAGCGTAGTACCATGATAGGCTGCCACCTGTGCAATAAGTTCATCCATGAAATGTCCTTGCTACTAAATATTCCACAGTCAACTGTTAGTGGTATTATAACAAAGTGGAAGCAACTGGGAACAACAGCAACTCAGCCACGAAGTGGTAGGCCATGTAAAATGACAGATCGGGATCAGCACATGCTGAAGCGCACACTGCGCAGACGTCGCCAACTGTCTGCAGAGTCAATAGCTAAAGACCTCCAAACTTCATGTGGCCTTCAGATTAGCACAACAGTGCGTAGAGAGCTTCATGGGATGGGTTTCCATGGCCAAGCAGCTGCATCCAAGCCTTACATCACCAAGTGCAAAGCAAAGCGTCGGATGCCGTGGTGTAAAGCACGCCGCCACTGAACTCTAGAGCAGTGGAGACTTGTTCTCTGGAGTGACGAATCACGCTTCTCTGTCTGGCAATACAATGGACGTGTCTGGGTTTGGTGATTGCCAGAACGGTACTTGCCTGACTGCATTGTACCAAGTGTAAAGTTTGATGGAGGGGGAATTATGGTGTGGAATCGTTTTTCAGGAGTTGGGCTTGGCCCCATAGTTCCAGTGAAGGGAACTTTAGGGCTTCAGCATGAATTTTGGGCTCCCAAACTGCTTGACCTAAACCCCCTGGCTTTGGGATGAATTAGAGCGGAGAGTGCATAGGCCTTCTCGTCCGCCATCAAGACCTCACAAATGTTTTGGACAATTTTCATGCTCCCAACTTGCACCCAGAGTCTGCAAAGGGTGACCAATCCCTATATTGAACCCTGGAAAACACCTTTGTGGAAAGGCAGGCGTCTCAATACTTTTGGCAATTAGAGTTGGAGAGGGGTGCACACACATACACACACACACACACATATACATATACAGTCATGGCCGAAATTGTTGGCACCCTTGATATTTCTCCAGGAAATCATGTATTTCTCACGAAAACGTATTGCATTAACACATGTTTTTGCTATACACATGTTTATTCCCTTTGTGTGTATTGGGACAAAAACAAAAAAAGGGAGGAAAGAAAGCAAATTCGACATAATGTCACACAAACCTCCAAAAATGGGCTGGACAAAAGTATTGGCACCCTTTCACAACTGCGGATAAATAAGAATGTTACAAGCATGTGATGCTCCTGTAAACTCACCTGGGGCAAGTAACAGTCAGGCCTTCACTCGTCCGCCATCAGTGCCTGCATATAGTGTAAGTTGGAGAAAAAATGGAAGGGGTATTATTTAATTTATATATATTTATTAATTACACACATTTTTATTATATATATATATTATATATATTTATATATCTCACAAATGTGCTTCTGGAAGAATGGTCCAACCTTCCATAGACACACTCCTAAACCTTGTGGACAGTCTTCCCAGAGACGAGCTGAGGACCTGAGAACCAAAATTGTGGCAAAATATCAACAATAAGCCATCTCCAAGGATTTGCCTTTGTCCACATGCGCAACATATCATTGAACCCATGGCACTGTAGCTAATGGTCGTGGACGGATGAAAAATGGAAAGATGCAATAAATGTTAAGCATGTTCCAAAGACATGTGTAAAGGGAGCAGGTCAGCGCTCTATACATTTAAATGAAATGGCAATATGGCAGTAAGTGCTGACACAGAGAGAAAAGTTTGCCAAATGGAGTAAGCCAAAAGCCTTCTGGGATTTGTGGACAGATGAGACCAAGATAGATTTTCGGTATCATTTACTGTTTTACCGAAAACGGAATGAGGCCTACAAAGAACAAAACACAGTACCTACGGTAAATATATGGTGGAGGTTCAATATATGTGTGCAAGGCATCATGAAATCTGATTACCAAAGGATTTTGGGTCGCATTGTACACAAGATCCTGGGTCTTCCACAGGACAATGACCCCAAACATACGTAAAAAAGCACTATGGATACACAGAGTTCTGAAGTGGCCAGCAATGATCTAAATCCCATTGAACACCTGCGCGCAATAAGAGAGACACACAAAATTCCGGGTGACACACACGACACACACCACAACCAAATATTAAGTTAAGGGTGCACACACACCCATTTTTGGGGTTTTGTGTGACATTATGTCATACACTTTTCTGCCTCTGTTTTATATTTGTTCCATATATAAACACAAAACATGACCCTTTTTTTGTGTGAAATACTTATTTCTAGTTCCCTGGTCTCCTCCTCCCATGCCCGCCTCCAGGACTTCTCCAGGGTGTCACCCATCCTCTGGAACTCCCTGCCCCAACCCATCATTTTATCACCTACTCTCCTCTCCTTTAGGCGCACCCTGAAAACCCATCTCTTCAGGGAAGCCTACCCCACCCCCTGCTAACTTGCCGACCTCCTCCACTCTTCCTACCACTCCATCCCCCACAGCTATCTCCTCCTGTACCACTATCCCCTCCCTCCTAGATTGTAAGCTCGAAAGAGCAGGGCCCTCATCCCCTCATGTTTTGCATTGTATTGGTATTGTTCTGTCATATGTTCTGTCCCCCTTTGTAATGTACAGCGCTGAGCGAACTATCGACGCTTTATAAATACTGTAGAATAATAATATTACACACACACACGTGTGTGTGTGTGTGTATGTATATAGGCTCATTCACACCATGGTACAGAGACTTCAGTTTTCCAGCAAACATTCTGCATGGCACAACAAAATCAATTGTTCTCTATGCATCCTGTTCACACCACAACACTATTATCATCTGCAGATTTTTTTATCTGCAGAAATCTGCAACGTGTATAAAATTCATTGTAGTGAACATGTAAACTGATGTCTCTGCAAGTGATATCTTCACGTCCGTTTCCATCAATTTGTCTGCACATATGGCGTGAACGAGGCCTAAAGCTATAAAAGATATATAGAAGTACAATTACATAAAAGACTAATCTATAAAAAAAGACAAGCCTTCTCTAGCAAAATATTAGAGAATGGGATGTTTGTAGGATGTACTAATTCTGGCTAATTAGAACCATCTTTGCGGGATAAACAAATTAACCCTTTTGTAAGTTCTTTAATAATCTTTTCTGAGAACAATCAATTGTAAATCCCAGCAATACCTGGCTTGCACAGAAGATGGAACCAAAGTACAGACTTCTATATCACCAAATATTTTTATATACGTTTACAGGGGTTAGACAAAAAAAAAAATGGAAACGTTACATGATTTGCAGGTGTGAAAGTAACATGTTTTGCTTTGAAAGCAGAACTGATGTAACACTCTTACTTCCGCTATGTGATGAGACACCTAGCTATCAGATGGGAAGCCTTGCTTTCGTCATTCACTGTGTGTGCTGCTAATAATACGGAGTCATGTCAGTTTACTGAGCTTCAAGGAGGGCAAACTGTTGGTGCCCGCTTAGCTGGTACCTCTGTGACTGAAATTGTCAATTTATTTGCGGTGTCGTGAGATACAGTATCAAAGGTTGTAACGGCATATACAGTTTCCAGGGAAA